TTTTGGACAGGCTCAGAGATGAGCAGGAAATGGGGAGTGAAGACCCTGGCTCCATCTTTTCCTCACAGTGCCTGCAAGGAGCTTCTGGGACAAAGAACAGGAGGACAGGAACAGAGAGAGGCCCCCAAACGGTGTTGAGCTTAGAGAAGTTCATGCATGAGTGTGAATGAGTATGTATAACAGAAAGCAAGTCAAGACTCTCTTCTGATTAGAAGCTTCCAGAATCCCCCTACCCTCAGGAAGTGCCCTGTCCTGTCTTGGTCTGATATATTAAAATTAAAATCGACCCTGCACACCCCATCCCAGCATCTCCAAGTGGACCCTGCTGTGCTCTGTGGATGTGCTGTCTGTTACAGCTGGACCACAATCTTGAGCTGCCTCCTCCAGGAAGGCTGCTGGGATGCACTGCCCTCTGACTGGGCTCCCCCCACACCTAACCTGCCTTTGCTGTGTGCTTTGCCTCTCTTACCACCATGCTCTTACCACCTCCCTGTGGGCTTTGGTGGGAAGGCTGGAGCAGGTGCTGCCCAGGCTAAGGTGGGCCCTGCCCTGCCTGCCTGTCAGGCTGCAGGCTGCAGGGCCTCACTCTGGCCACTGGGTGCCCTCTGCTGGTTCAGCTGGGCACTGCCACTGCTTCCCCCAGAGTGTCCAGAACTTCATGGGGAGAAAGAAGCTCTTAGCCTGTCCCTCTGTCCCTCCTCCCTTCCTGACAGCTCCTCTGTGCTCTAGCCCTCCTGATCCTTGACTAGCAGCCCCATCCTCAGCACCCTCTCTCCACACACCCTTCTCCACGGCTCTATAGCTCCCTGTCCTGAGCATCTGCTTTCCCCACATCTGCCTGTCTCTAGCACCAGAGTCCATGAAGCATTCCTCCTGATGCCGAGGGCTGCCTCTCCCAGCTCAGTGTCCTCCAAAGTCCTTGACACACATCACATTATCCCTGGGCTACCCTAACCCTGTCTGTGACCACTGTGTCCCGTGGGGAGTCCAGCAGGCCTGGGAGGGCCCTCACCACAGGCCCTGGGGACTCAGTCCTTGCACCTAGGAGGCCTTGCTCAGATGCACTCTCCTCCCATCTGCCCTTGTCCCTCTGGAACCTGTGTCCACTCTGCAGACTTGATGTCACACACCCTGTCCCCACAGGGGACTCAAACCTCTCTAGATCTGTATTCCACATTGCCCATCCTACTGCCTTCCTGCTGGGCAGCCCTGCCCCCGGGGGCCACACTACATTGTCCTCACAGCCCATTTCCTCAGCTCCTTCCCTCAAAGGAGCTTTTCACACTGCCCTGCGTCCAAACCCAGCTCTTCCTTCCCTGCCCACAATGTGTGTCCCCTCCCCTCAGCACTGGTGTCCAGATGACATCATCTCCACACTCTGTGTCTGCCCATCACCTTCACTGCTGTAACCCAGCATGCAGAACAGTGCTGGGCACATAGTTCCATCTCTAACCTAATCAGTCATTACAGGTGCTGGGCACACCAAGGTGACCTATCAAGTCCATAGCCTCATGAGGGAGACAGTTCTCTGACAGTTAAATGTGCAGGCAGTTTTTCCTATTTGCCAGCCCTTTTCAACCTGGGCACTGAGCCACAACTCCTCTGTCCATCCTCTTCCAGGTCCATTAGCCCAAGGAGGAGCCTCAGGATTCTGGGGACAAAATACAACATTTAACCCCTGCTCCATGGAGCTCCCAAGAAACAGCTGGAAAAATCAGATCTGCTTTGCCTCTAGCCTTGTGATGCTGATAAGGTATTTCCCTTTCTGGCCCTAAATTTCTTCATCTGTTCAATGTGCCCCTCCAGTTGGACTAAATGGTTCAGAAGAGCAGACACGTTCTGACAAAGGTGCCAATGAACATGGAGAGGGGAGGGGCTGCCTGACCCCTGTTCATTTCATGTCAGAACTGTATAACACAGACAAGGAGACTGCCTCCCATTCTGCCTCATCTGTCTGCACAGGAGAACACTGTCTATACCCCTGTGCTAGCATGTGAGTATCGTTAATTGTCTGAGCATCTCCCAAAGTTCTATGATTTATCTTCCTGTGCTGACATTGAACCTCAGATCTCAGTCTCATGAGGAACTAGTACTAAACATGTTTATTTAGCACCACCAGTGCCCAGCTCAAAACATGCTGTTCAAAAGCTATTGGTATCAAATGTATTTCATACCAATAGATAAACAGCTATTTCATTCTTTGCAACAGCTGCTAACTATTCCACCCCATAACCAGATCGAAATCTGTCCCTTGCTGATGGATATGCAGGCTACTGAAGGCTGCAGGGAAGGCAAACAAAAGTATAAGACACTTGGGGAGACTGGAGGAAAGCTTCACTAAAGCAGACAGTGATGCTGGAGGGGAGGGGAGCTCATTGCAGTCAGAGTCCAGAATCACACCTCCCTAAGAGCAGCAGGTGCAGTGAACTGAGTCCTGAGCAGCGCTGGCCAGAGAACTGGAAACTGGAAGCAGAACCAGTGCTGCTTCCTACCCAGCTAGGCCAGGCCTGGCCTCTGACACCATGGCAGGCTTTGGTGAGGCCTGTGTGTATGAGCTGAGCTCATTAGCTAGCAGGATTTCTTATGCATTAGTACATTGGTCCTTGTCCCCTCGTGCATCCTGGCCATGGATGACCTGGGAGATATGTTTGGGGTCCTTCCTGTGTTGTGTTAGGACCCTCCACTTTCTACACTGCATTATCACAATGGTTGTTTTGTATCCTTGACTGCTTATTTCTTTGGGATCTCTTCCTAGGGAATGAAATGGCTAAGTGTGAATGCAGACACATGTTTAGTTTGTTACTGACAGAGCTACTAACAGGGCCCAGTGAAGAGCTGTAAACAGATACCAAGTCATGGAGAAGCCAGACACTTGTGGCTCACCCCTGTAATCTCAGCTACTCAGGAGGCTGAGATCTAGGGATCCCCGTTCAAAGCCAGTCTGGGCAGGAAAGTCCATGACACTCTTTTCTCCAGTTAATCGGTAAATACTAGGAAGTGAAGTTGTGACTCAAGTGGTAAAGCTATCTTTGAACTGAGGGCCAACACCCAGTTCCTGTGTTCAAGTCTCAGTACTGGTGCACATGCATGCGTGCACACACATACACACAAAGTCATGGAGGATTTATTAATGAAATACCAGTTCTACTAAGAAGAGTAAAGATGGGCAGCTGAATGATGGGATTGGAGCAGTGGGCGGCCATTGTGGGGAAAACCTGCCTGCTGCAGGCAACAAAGCATTCAGGGTGTTTCAGGTCAGGACCTGAAAAGACACTTGAAGCTCTACTTGTGGACAAAAGAAATGTTAAAGAAAATTTCCATTTAAAATGTTGTTGTAGTTAGACAACTTAGTACCTTGCTCCTGTAACCCTATCTACTGAGGAGGCTGGAATCTGAGGATCATGGCTTGAAGCCAGCCTGAGCAGCAGGCTCTATTTCCAAAATAACCAGCAAAGACATCTGCCTGGATGTGGTAGCCCAAGTGGCAGAAAACTTGCACAAAAAACACTAAAAGTTCAAGTTCAAAGTCCTGTGTTCAAGTAAATGAGGACTGACAGGCCCACCTTTCCAAACCCCCCAGGGAGAGAGAATCCTTCTTTGCTTTTTTTCTCAGCTCTCTTCCTCCTTGTCCTCGTTCTCCTCCTCCTCCTCCTCCTCCTGTACTTGGGGTAAAGCTCAGGGTTTAAGCTTGGTTGGTGCTTTTAACACTTGAACCACCACCTCAGTCCTTTTTGCTTTAGTTATTTTTCAGCTGAGCCTTCACATGATTGCTCCCATGTATTTGGGATTACAGATGTGAACCACCAAACCCAGCTTGCTGGTTGAGATGCGGTCTCGATCACTTTTTGCCCAGGCACTCACAGACATTCTTGCTAGAGGAGCGAGCTTTGTTGAGGAAGCTGCCCAAAGGAGAGTTGCAGACACACTTCAGTTGCCAACAGGCCCCAGGAAAGAGTACTTCCACCTGACGCTCTTAGACAACAATTGAACACAGCTGCTGTTTTAGTGACAAAAAGGTGGTGCTTCGTGGAAAGGAGCAAAGGAGTGCACCTCCCTCCTCTACATGTCACTGAGGACCCTGCTGGTCCATGGCTGGTCCAGTGCTGGTCCTGTGGTTCTTCAGAGGCTCTGCAAACAGGTGGGAAGGGCAGCAGCTGTGAACCCCCAAGGTCCCAGCTCAGCACTGAGAATCTTCTGCTATCTGCCAATCATGCTCAAGCCACTGGGGAGGGCCCCCATGGGCTGGGCTGCCAGGCCCCCCTTTCATCCTGCCTGGTACACAGTAGATGCTTCTTGGATGCTTGTCCCTTTGGGTTCTTAGCCATGTGCCTGAAAGAAATCTTACAAACTCAGTTACTTGCAACACTGAGATGTGACTGCATTTCTGTGTCATCTTCCCAGATTCTAAGATCCAGCTCCTGTAGACTGGAATTGAGAATCCAGGCTATCCCTCTTCAGGGAGGCCTAGATGGAGGTGGGATTCAGGGCACAGAAGGAAGAGGTGGCGGCCAGAGAGGGATCCAGGCTAAGTTCAGGAAGCTAAGTTAGGCAGTGGGAGGCGGTGGGTGGGAAGGCTTTTGCTATCAGACTGAGTAGAGTCATAGTCAGAGTGGAGGGGAACCCGAGGGAGCAGTGGGAGGGGCTGTGTGATAACTCAAGGCCAGAGGCAGAGACCTGAGGGCAGGATGGGTATCCATTTCCATTAGGATTTGGAGTATTTTTTTCTACACTCTTCCACCCCACGCTCCTCCTCCAGGCCAATCTGGCACTGTGTGGAGGGCTGGATGGGATGGAAGCCAAATGCTCCAAGTCTGGGAGTGTGTAAGGAGAGGGGTGGGCTCCATTAGTATATAATCAGTTGGGACAGTCCCAGGTTCAAGTGTATAGCACTCTGTACCCAACTTGGAGGCTCTGGGCTGCAGGCAGGTGCCAGACAGCCAGGCTGCCCTGTGTGGCTTTGTGGGTGTCAGCGCCAGAGTGCAAATCTCTCCCCCTGCCCCATGGGCACTGAGGGTTCTAGGAGGTTGTGGTGGCCACTGTGGTCCCTGCTGCTATTGTTGCTGCTTCTGGGCAATACAAGGGCCAGAGCCCAAGCACAGCTGGATGGGTCAGGAGCCCAAGAACAGCTGGACGGGTCCAGAGCCCAAGCACAGCTGGATGGGTCAGGAACCCAAGAACAGCTGGACGGGTCCAGAGCCCAAGAACAGCTGAATGGGTCCAGAGCCCAAGAACAGCTGCACAGGTCCGGAGCCCAAGAACAGCTGAATGGGTCCAGAGCCCAAGAGGAGCTGGACAGGTCCAGAGCCCAAGAACAGCTGGACAGGTCCAGAGCCCAAGAGGAGCTGGACAGGTCTGGAGCCCAAGAACAGCTGGACGGATCCAGAGCCCAAGAGCAGCTGGACAGATCCGGAGCCCAAGAGGAGCTGGACCGGTCTGGAGCCCAAGAACAGCTGGATGGGTCTGGAGCCCAAGAACAGCTGCACAGGTTCGGAGCCCAAGAACAGCTGGACGGGTCCAGAGCCCAAGAACAGCTGCACAGGTCCGGAGCCCAAGAACAGCTGGACGGGTCCAGAGCCCAAGAACAGCTGGATGGGTCAGGAGCCCAAGAACAGCTGGATGGGTCTGGAGCCCAAGAACAGCTGGACGGGTCTGGAGCCCAAGAACAGCTGAATGGGTCCAGAGCCCAAGAACAGCTGGATGGGTCCAGAGCCCAAGAACAGCTGAATGGGTCCAGAGCCCAAGAACAGCTGCACAGGTCCGGAGCCCAAGAACAGCTAAATGGGTCCAGAGCCCAAGAGGAGCTGGACGGGTCTGGAGCCCAAGAACAGCTGGATGGGTCAGGAGCCCAGGAGGAGCTGGACGGGTCAGGAGCCCAAGAACAGCTGGACGGATCCAGAGCCCAAGAGGAGCTGGACAGATCCGGAGCCCAAGAGGAGCTGGACCAGTCTGGAGCCCAAGAACAGCTGGATGGGTCTGGAGCCCAAGAACAGCTGCACAGGTCCGGAGCCCAAGAGGAGCTGGATGGGTCCAGAGCCCAAGAACAGCTGGACAGGTCCAGAGCCCAAGAGGAGCTGTATGGGTCTGGAGCCCAAGAAGAGCTGGACAGGTCAGGAGCCCAAGAACAGCTGGACAGATCCAGAGCCCAAGAGGAGCTGGACAGATCCGGAGCCCAAGAATCCGGAGCCCAAGAGGAGCTGGACCGGTCTGGAGCCCAAGAACAGCTGGACGGGTCCAGAGCCCAAGAGGAGCTGGACAGATCCGGAACCCAAGAGGAGCTGGACCGGTCTGGAGCCCAAGAACAGCTGAATGGGTCCAGAGCCCAAGAACAGCTGAATGGGTCCAGAGCCCATGAACAGCTGGACGGGTCCGGAGCCCAAGAGGAGCTGTACGGGTCTGGAGCCCAAGAGGAGCTGGACGTGTCTGGAGACCAAGAGGAGCTGGACGGGTCTGGAGCCCAAGAACAGCTGGACAGGTCCAGAGCCCAAGAGGAGCTGGATGGGTCTGGAGCCCAAGAGGAGCTGGACAGGTGCAGAGATGAAGACCTGGATGGAGACAGAGAGGGGATGGGGCTTGCCACACCATCGGTGATCAAACGCAGGTCCAAGGCCATCCTATACCGGAGCTTTGAGGTAAGGGCAAGAGGGGTGAGGAGCCCTATGGATGCCATTTCTTCTCTGGCCTCAGTTTCCCAGCTGTCAGGGAAGATGGGAAGGGAAGATCCCAGAGAGCTTTCTGCTCATTCGGCCACCAGGGACTATAGGCAGGGGGTATGGAGGTAGGAGCGCTGGAGATGCAGAGACTGTTCACAGTGCGCTGCTGTGCCTCTAGGAAGAGGGTCCCCAGAGTGGCTGGGGTGGAGATCAGGGCTCCCCGTGCACTCCAGTCACCCACCTGGGGCCCAGCTGTGGCCCCATGGTGGTGGCCAAGGTTGGCCCTGGACCTGGCGCCACACATTGAGCACAGAGCAGTGGACATGGCACACGTCATCACCAGGTAGTCTTTCCTGCCTGCTGCTGGGAGGGGAGTGCACAAGGCCTGGTACAAGCTGGGGGTCTTGGAGAGAGCGTGGGTGGAGAGCAGGGGTGTAGGACCTGGCATAGTGGGGCAAGCGAGTTCTTCATGCCCTGGCACCCTTCTCTAGCTAAAGTTGAGTCTTATCCAGCGGAGGAAAAGCACAAACTAAAGGGGATGGAGTGGAATTAATCCAGAGCCCCACGTGGTAGATTAGGTGTCTGAGGTTGTTGGGGGGGTGGCGAGGAAGTGGGGGAAAAGGAGGGTTGCAATCTGGCCTTGCAAGTAGCCAAGATCTGGGAGGCGGGCTCTGTTTCCCATCACCTTACATCTAGGTGGGGCTCCCCGGAATCTCTTCACACATATGAGCACTGTGTGTGCCCTGGGCTGTGGAAAGCTCTGGGATGGGATGGACTGTACAGGTAACCTTGGAGAGGGGGTTCAGGACTGGGTCTGAGGTGCTGTCCCTTGACCCTGAGAGATTGAATCCCCGTGTCCTCTCACTAACGATGACCAGTGAGTCTCTCAACCTGAAGCCTGCAGGAAAAGAGGGCTGATGGTTCTTCTCCGGGGCGATGAAGGGGAAGGAGCTTGGTTGATCATAGCTTGTGAGACCCCAGAGAGATGGGCTGTCACAGGCAGGCAGCTGCTGTCTCCTCCTAGACAAACCTGCCTTGCTCCCCCTCTGGGATGGGAAAGGTCTGCTGACCCCATGTATTGGGCCACAAGCTGCCAGGCTCTTGTTCTGCTCATAACAACTTTTCCTCAAATTCCTGGGTCTTTTTTCAACCTTCTCCAGGGATGTTGTGGGGCTGTGGTGAGGAAAATAAAGCATAAGCACATCAGAAACAGTTATCTCAATATTAGGACAGGTAAGGGAGGAGGACTGTGAATTTGAAGCCAGCCTGGCTTCAAAGTGAGACTGTGTCTCAAAAAAATTAATGAAAATAAATAAATGGATCATAAGAGGGCGATTCTAGTCATCACTGCCCTCCCCTGCCACCCCATCACTGTCATACAAGGCTGAGTGTCCTATCCTAAGAGGTGCACGAGCAGAGGCTGGACAGCCACCGGGACCAGGGAGCAGAGGGTGTTCATCCCTGGTGGGAGTTTGTTTCAGGAAGTTCCTCAGGTCCACATGGTCATCCCATTAGCATTTTGGTGGAGTCAGATTTAGAATGCATGTGTGAAGTGTGTTGGGATGGAACTGAGGGCATCGCCCTTGCTAGGCAGCATCCACCACTTGAGCATCCCTCCAGCCCCTTGGTGCTCTCAATGTCTTATTAGCACACATGAGTTGTCTAAAGGGGTTTCATTGTGGTACTTACATACATGCATACAATGTGCTTGGATCCAATCTACTGCCTCTATATTGTTCTGGCTATTTTTCCCTTAAGGTCAATGGAGCTGGGATGGTAGGTGCCCACTACCATGTCTAGCTATTGGCTGAGATGGGGCCCATTAGGAGCTGTTGGACTGGGACAGGGTAGAGCAGGTACCATGTGGACGGTACACAGCAGTCCCTTCACTCATAGAGAGGCCACACTGGCCCAGAATGAAGACTTCTTTGTGTTTTACAAGTGGAAAATCTTTTTCAACCTATCCTTCCATTACAGTAAGGAGAAACCACGGCCCACAGAGCCTCTTCTCTCCCTGTGGAAGCGGCCGTGCTCTGATTCCCTGGACTTGGTGTGATGTGGGTAGTGCAGTCTCTGGAATACAGAGACTCTGAGGCACAGGATGGTTAAGTGGCTTGCTCCTGGCCAATAACTGTTGGGCGTGGTAGGGCTCAGATCCATATTTTCCTGGCTCTGAAGTGTGTGAGGCTTCTTGGGCTGCTTCTGGTGGGGAGAAATGGAGATGTGTTATACTGGGAAGGAGGTTGGGACACTGGGCTGACTAGGAGCGATGGCTTTTAGACAAAGCTGCAGGGGTGACCAGATCTGTCTAGGGCTTGGAGAGCACATCTGTGTGCTCCCCCAGGGGCCTGTTGCTGAGGGTGACCTTCAGTTTCCCTAGGAGATGTTAGCCTTGTTTAGAAGTGTGTGGATCTGTTTGTAGGTGATGTCACTGGGGCTTTGTGTGTGTTGGGGAGAGGTTTAAGCTTCACTGAGTCAGCTTGAATTTATAATCTTTCTATGTCCTGGGTCCCTTTGCTTCTAACATGATCTGTAAACAGGGACGGATCTTTCTTTTGATGTCCTCATGCTTCTTTTCTTCTCTTGGGGCCAGAGTGCCTGGAAGGTGCCCAACACCTACCTGGTGGTGTTCCATGAATCCCAGAGTCAGTGGATGAGGTGTATTGTCCACCTCCTGCAGAGCAAGGCTGCCAGCCAGGGCCTCATGTTCGAAGTGCTGCATGTCTTCAAAGACCTCTTTCCTGGCATCCTGATGAAAGTGGACAAAGTGGGCACACTGGACCTGGTGAGCCTCCGCTCAGGCATGCACTTCTACAAGCTGGGGAGAGACCTGTAGGAGCCCCTGACTGACACTCAGGGGACAGCAGACACTGAGTACTGGTGTGTCTCTAGCTCAGTGATGCCCATGACGCCAGCCTCCTCAGGCAGCTTCTTTGTTAGCCTGGCTAATTTCTCTATGATCCATTCATCCTCATTTGAAGCACAAGGGATCCCAGTACAGAGGGACCACATGGCCTTAGATGGTGGAGCTGGGCTCCCAGCTGCTTGTTCCCTGGCCAGTGTCCTTGTGCTGGTGCATTGCAGCTGGGTCCACAGCTAAGGTGAGAGAAGGGTCAGGGACAGCCCAGGATGTTGTGCAAATGAGGTATGCTCCAGGGTGCGGGGGCCGGGGGAGGGTGGCGGTGGGAAGAGATGAGCACACACACTCTGCTCTCAATTGCTTCGGATGCCCCCTCCCCCCATTGGCAAAGCACCCAGAAGCCACTACCAGGGGGCCTGGCACTGTGATCTGTAGTCAGAAAGGACAGGGGAAGGGAGTGGACACACAGGATGCATAGTGCTGGTAACCTAATTTGAGCATGGGGTCCAGGCCCAAGGGACTTCCCCCACTGTCCAGCCTGCTTGCAACAGGTACTGCCTGATGAGATATAGAAGCCAGAATCCCTCCTGACACTCATGTGGGCTCAGCTACCAGTTGTGGGGGCACTGGTCCCAGCTCCCCCCACTCCCAAGCCTGGGAGAGGAGTGAGGACCCTGGTTTGTCTTCAGGTCCATGGGAGGGGGACTGTGGGTGGCCATGCTGGGGACACTGGTGGGATCAGGTGCGGCAAGTGCTGGGTGCTGCTGGTTAAGTGACTCATGAAATTGAGATCCTGTGTCCTTGGCATCCGCAGATCCTGAGGCTGAAGCAGGTGAAGTTCGTTGAGGAGGATTCCTTTGCCTTTGCACAGAGCCTCCTGTGGATCCCGCATAGGATTTCTCCTCAGTGGAACCAGTTTTTGAGCATCATGTGGAACACAAGGCGGGTTTCTTCTGAGTGGGATGAGTTAAATAGCTTCAACCACAGAAGTAAGACCACAGCTGCCATGGCCTCCATCTCCTCCTTGTCCCAGGACCTCACCTTCCATCTCCTCCCTCTCCTGGGACCTGGCCCTCCTGCCTGTCTTCTGTCTGTCCTCTCCTCTCCCCACTCAGGACAGCGCCCCCTCCTGGTGCTCTTTGCAGAATGCAGAGACAGTTGCCTAAGTTTCTCTATTCTACCTTCCTTTTAAAAAAAAATTGGGTTCTTGAATTCAGGGCCTGGGTGTTGTCCCTTATGTTTTTTCTTGCTGAGAGATGGTGCTCTACCACTTGAGCCACAGCTCTACTTCCAGCTTTTTTGCTGGTTAATTAGAGATAAGAATGTCACAGACTTTCCTGTCTAGGCTGGGCTTTGAACTGCCACCTTCAGATCTCAGCTTCCTTAGTAGCTAGGATTACAGGCTTGAGCCACAGGTACCTGAATAACCACCTTTGCAATTCTTTTTCTCATTGTCTTTGCAGCAGGCCACTCTTGACAGAGGAGGAGGCTGAACTTGACTATGACTTACAGTCTCTAATCTCTATAACTCTCAGTCCTCAAAACAAGAACACATCTCCAGAGCTTCCCCCATCTAGGTCTCTGATTCCCCTACCCTCACCCCCACCCCATGCCACTGGCTTCCAGGTACTTTGTCCACATTTCCCTCTGCATTTGCAGAGGGAGGCAGAGGAGGAGACCAGGAAAATAACTGTGTCTGGTGGGACATCACAGTGACACTGAGCTGGGGAAGACAGTAAGGGCACCTGCTTGGGAGAGGATCAGAGGTTCTGACTGGATCATGTAGTATTGGATGAGCCTGACACGGATGCCTGGAAATGATTGTGCTAGATAATTGGAGATGGAGTCTAGAGAGCTTCTCTGCCCAGGCTGGCTTAGAACCTTTAATGTCCTAGATCTCACCATTCCAATAGATAAGATTACAGGTTTGAGATGCTGATGCCCAACTTTATTCAATTTTTCCTCTTACAGTCTTGGAATTTGCACTCAGGGCCTCATGTTTGGGTGGCAGGTCCTCTACCAGTTGAGTCATTTATACATTAGTTACTTTTCAGACTTTTATAACAGAAATTTGAGATCTGGACCACAATCCTCATTTTTGTGCTTGCTATGTAGCTGGGATGATAGGCTTGTGCTACTGTGGCTAGCTATTGATTGAGATGTGGTCTTGTAAACTTTGTGCCTGGATTGGCCTTGATTTACCCATTCTCTGACTGACAAATAGTAAGGATTTCAGATGTAGGACACTTTACTTCTTCATTCTTGTGTGAGGCCACTCTGCATTGACTTAGGACCACTGGTTCATCTAAGATCATTCAGCATGATCTCACCTGGAGAGTCTTCTGTTGATCACAAAGACCTCTTTTCCAGACAAGGTCTGGTGGTGGTACTGGAATTTTAACCCAGTACCTCACATTTGTTAGGTTACCACTTGAGCCACAATTCTAGCCTCCAGATAGGTCTAAAAGGATGTGGCATATCTTTTCTGGGGCCAATAGTGACTAGTTTTCCTGCAGGTTCAAAGTAGACACAGTCTGCTTCCTGTCCCCTAGGAATGCCTTATGTCCTTGTCTTTCCCTGGATTAGTGGGGAACAGGGCTGTGAAGGCCCTTCTAGAGTCTTCTATAGGCCTTGGCTGGAGGAGACCCTTTAGGAGCTATCAGAATGGGACAGGGTAGAGCAGGTAACATGAATGGAGACAAAACAGGGTGGACAGTCTCAGACAGACCTTTCCCTTCAATCACAGAAAGGCCACATGGAACAGATGACAAGCCTGTTGATTATCCTCAAATCCAAACCTTGTAAGGGAATCAAAACTGGAGGAGAAGGCTATGAGGAGATGGGTAGAATTTGTAGTGAGGTGGCTATAAGTTAAGGAAAGCCAGCAGCCACCAGAAATAGGTGGTTGAGGCCAGTGAGGCTTCTTATCCAGAACCTTCAGAGGAAGTGTGGCATGACTGATCTCTTGATTTTGAATTTCTGGTTTCCAGAACAGCAGTTTGAGTTGGTCACAAGGGCAACCATAGAGCTTGTGCTGCTGTAATCCTGCCTCAAGAGAACCAGTAGTAGGAGCAGGTCACTGAGGCCCTGCAGGAGGCAGCTTCCAGCCATTGACAGAGCTCAAGGTGGAGCTGGGCCATTTGATTTGGTAACAAGACCCACTAACTGTCAGTATGCTACTGTGCAGTTTCCTGATTCTCTCTCATTGGCCACCTATATGAATTTCAACAGTTTTCTATCTCAATGTCTCACTGGCCTGGTCAGTAAAATAATCCCACTAGCAGGTAGCTTGGGAGGACTTCTGGACCATTAAGTTCATGTGCTGTTTGTGAAACAGTGTGTGCATAATTGGTAAGCAGAGAATGTCATCATTGATACATATGAACCACATATAACATCACCCTCCGGATTCTCTGCTTTCTCTTCTAACACAAATGTCATCGTGGGAAGACAAAGACAACCCCGTGGAGGTGTATCTCTTGGGCACTAGCATCCAGCCTAATCACATGGAAATTAAGGGCAGGATCAACATCTCTAACTTTGAGAGAGTGCCTAAGGAGGAGTGGCAGAGCACCAGTGCACGCTGGATACAGGTGAGCCATCCTTCCCCAACCCTGACCTGGAGGAAGATGAGGACCACCAGACCTGGAGCACCATGGCCACCCTCTCCAGCCATCACCATCCATCCCCAGTCCTCAGCTGTAGGTGAGGGAGGGCGGGCATTGCAGTCCATCTGGGGTCTTTTGGGAAATCTTGGGGTGGGTGGTTTTCTCATTTGGTCTTTGTGTTGGTGGAGCAGGAACGCAATTGTGAAAGCCATGGCACCCACCTGGCAGCCCTGGTCAATGGCCAGAGTGTTGGCGTGGCTAAGGACATCAAGATACACAGCCTGCGTGTGCTCAACTGCCAAGGGAAGGGCACGGTCAGCGGCATCCTCATGGGTGAGTGGCAGCTCCCATTCTGTTGTCTTTCCATCTGGCCATGGGGGCAGGGGCTTCAGCCAGGGAGGAGCAATGTCTCCAGACCCAAGAGGGCATGGTAGCCTCTGCCACAGAGTACCAGTGGAGGAGCAGCAGAACCCTCAAGGTTGCCAGTGCAGGTGGAGAGACTGAGGGCTCAAGGGAGCAGAGACCCAGCCCAAGTGAGCTCCTGTTCCATGCTCCTTCTCCATTCCGTGTGCTCTGTGCTTTCAGAATTCTGTGTCATTTGTCATGTGGGCTTAGATCTCCACAGACCCTGAGGAGACAGAAAGGAAGCCAGTTTCCCTTCCAAGCATTGTGGGGCTCATTGTTCCCAAGTCTGGCTCCCCGTCACCTTAGCCGAATTGGTGGAGGAACCAGCAACCCGTTGTCCAGACTGTCCCAGGTTTCTGCATCCACTGCATGGGAGAGGAGAGATAGGGCCTGGCTCTGAGAGGTCCTGCTTGAAAAAGAAAGAAATCAAGCAAGCAAGCAAGCCAGCAAGAGAGACAGAGAGAGAGAGGGAGAGGTGATTTGAGGAGTGGTCTTTTTACTTGGCTGGTGAGCCTGCAATCTGCAGGGCAGGCCAGTCAGGCTACAGATGCCTGCAGCAGCTGACTGCAGTCTTGAATCAGTAGGTTTATGGAGGCAGAATTCCTTCTTTTGAACCATCATGTGATTGAGCAAAGTCATTAAGACAAAAAGAGTATTGATATAAATATTAGCCATGTAATATATTCATATATAACATATATGAATATATATATATATCAGCACTTAAATGCATTTGACCAATTATTGGGTCATCAAGTTGACAATAGTGAACATCACTGCTGTTTTGGAGGGAAGGGGCTGGAGGAAGGAAGTGTGTCCCTCTCCAGGCAGTCATCTTGGCTTTGTTCTGTCAGGCTTGGAGTTTCTTTGGAAAAAGCTGGTCTCCAATCCCTCCAAGCGCATGGTAGTGCTGCTGCCCCTGGTGAGTGGGTACAGTCAGAACATCAAAAATGCCTGCAAGCTCCTGGCAAGGGCTGGAGCAGTGCTGGTGGCCGCTGCGGGCAACTTTCAGAGCAATGCCTGTGCCTACTCTCCAGCGTCGTCTCCTGAGGTAGGTGCCAGCAGGGCTTCCTGCTCATGTCCTGCCTTGCAGGTTGTCAGAGGGCCAGCATCCCCAAACCCCAGTGTGACAAGGGGTTTGGCTAGCCCTGCCTCACCTTCAAAGGCCCTCCCACATTACCCCCTCCATCACATCCTCCCTCTGTGCCATCCCTCTCCTCCTGATTGACATTTGTAGAGCCACTGCTTTGTGTGGGGCTTGTTTGGCAGTACCAGGAGGAGGACACCTATCCCACTTTCCAGATTTCCGGGCTCTGAAATGCAGAGAAACTGCTCCACTCTACCCTTGTCCCCTCAGACTCTGGTTCAGCGGGGCTCCCAGATATGCAAAACTTAAAACCACTTGCGTTCAGCCTGGCTCATTGTGGGTTGCCTCTCAGCATTCTGCCTTCTTGATGACAAGGTTGTCAGTTTAATATTTGTCTCCCAATTAAGTATACTCTCTACAGGGCATGGGGAGTAGTGTCTACATCCTGTGGGAGCCCTGAGACATCCTAGGGTATCAGCTGTAAATCAGGTGCCAGATTTTCCCCAGGAGGAGACATTTACATGAGGGTCAAACAGGTAGTAGAGGAGTTGATCAGTCTGCCCCTGCAGCCCTTTCCTCAACTCTTTGTCTGCCACATTCCAGGTCATCACTGTTGGGGCTGTAGATTTCCAGGACCAGCCACTCATCCTGGGTCCTCTAGGGACCAACTATGGATCCTGTGTGGACATCTTTGCTCCTGGGAAAAACATTGTCAGTGCCTCCAAAGACTGTAATGTTTGTTATGCAATGCAGAGTGGAACTTCGCAGGCGGCTGCCCGTGTGGCTGGTGAGTCACCATGCCACTGTCTGGCCCACCAGGATTCCAGTGGTCCCTTTTGCCAGGCTAGGCTATGAGCAGGAAGACAAAATGGGAAGACCTGATAGTGATGATGCATTTTGCATCAGTAGAATCTGGGATATAAATAGGTGTTCACCTGATGAACACAATGGCCAATACCAAGGCCTGGAGATAGAAAAACAAGGAATCTTACTTTCTATCTTTCACTATGCAAGGGATTGCAGGTGGCTTCATTTTGGGAAGAGCACCTGATATGTGTATATGTGTGCATTTGTGTTCTGAAAGGATTTCCCAGCTAGGACAGAGGCCAGGCTATCACCTTGTCTGACCTCTCCCTCCTCCATCAGGCATTGCAGCCCTGTTGCTCACTGCCCAGCCAAACCTCACTGTGGCTGAGCTGAGGCAGAGGTTGATCCACTACTCTACCAGGAATGCTATCAATGATACCCGGTTCCCAGAGGAGGAGCGATTCAAGACCCCCAACCTGGTGGCTGCAATGCCCCTCAGCACCCAGGAAACAGGTGAGCAGGGCAGGTGGGTAGGCAGAGGCCAGCCTGGAGTGTGAGAGGACCATGTGATGGTGACAATCCCCAATCTGGTCCACAGAAGGACTGTCCTCCTCAGATAGGACTCCAGGCTTGGTATTGCTACAACACTTCTTTTTAAATTAACTTTATTGCTGTTATTCAGAAGATCTACAGAGGGATTACATTTAAATGAATGAGATAATGAGTCTATTTCCTCTCTGTGCAGTGTCATCTGATCCCTCATTTTCTTGCAGTCCCTCCTTTCTCCCCCCACAAGTTGCATAGTTCACTTTCATCCATATCCAGTGAGCTCCACTGCTGTGCCTTTTACTCATTTTCCCTCAACTTCTGTATCTGACCCCCAACCCTCCAGAAGACATATGCATGAATACACCATAAATAAAGGGGGAAAAACAGCTTCATCAAAAAGCTATACACTAAAAAAGAAAGGAAAAAAATCTTTTTTTCCATATCTTGGGAGTTTGTTTCAGTATGTACACTATATATAACATGAAAAGGGCCTTAAGCATTGCACCATTAGAATTCTTCTTAACAGTGTACTCTTTTGGTTTCACTGTATGTGAGCATCTAGAATCCTGTATAATTGTTTACAACCCAGTGCATTTTAGATCTAACTTCCACATATTAGAGAGAATATAGCAATTTTAAGTAAAAGTTTTATGTCATAGAGAAATACCTCTCCTTTATGTCAGCCTGAAGCTTTCTCTGGAATCCCCAGAGGATCCTGCACCCCCAGAGCCTCCTTACTCATGTCTTTGTTGCAGGTACACACCTGCTCTGCAGGAATGTGTGGTCAGCACCCTGGAACCTTAGGCGGAGAAATGTTGCCAAGGCTTGGTGTAACCCAGGGGAGGAGCTGCTTGGGTGCTCTAGTTTCTCTCAGAGTGGGATGCGACAGGGAGAGCGTTTGGCGGTGAGTTGCAGCACTCTATGTGCCCAGTCCTCTGTCCCCTGGATTCCAATCCTTATCTAAACTTCAAAAGGCCTGGGGGACTCAGGACAGAGAGCAGCATCATGGGCAGCCCATGTTCCTCAGGCTCCAAACCTCTTCACAAGTTCCCATTTCTCTCTTGGACTCTCAGATCCTAGGAAACAGACGTGTTTGCCTGGCATTTGGAGACCGCCAGGTTTCTGCAGTGGCCAGATGCTGCGTGCTCCCCCAAGCCAACTGCAGCATCCACACAGCTCCTCCAATCTCGATGGGGCTGAAGACCTACATCCACTGCCCGGATCCTGACCAAGTCCTCACAGGTAGGGGCTGGTCCCGCTAGGGTGAGGAGGACGCCCTATCTTCTGCTGCTCAGGAGACGTGTCCCACACACTTGGTCCCTATGGGTGTGAGCAGAGGATTTGGGAGCCTAGGATCTATAGCCAAGCAGGATCTACAACTTGCATGCCGTGTGGCCCTGGGTAGGTGGCTTCACCTCTCTTCTTCCCCTTCCTCAGTGGCAGCAATGAGAGGGATGGCAGATGGGCTCCAGCTTGGGCACCGGGAGCTGTTTACCAGCTGTGTGAGTGAGGAGCCCCGGTTCAGGCCTATCAGAATGGGGCACAGCTCAGGTTGATTCCAACTACCACTCAGTAGCTGGCAAGTTCCTTATCAGCCATGTGCTTTAGTTTTGTCATCATGAATGCTCAGCTCTAATCCTGGGACAGTATGCTTTCTGGTGACCACTGCCATCGACCATCACTCTGAAGTCCTTTCTCTGGGCTAGGGACCTTCTGTCAAAACTTGCCCAGGCAGAGGCTGGAAGTCATGGGTGAGGGCCCCTCATTAGAGCTAGGGACTTTGGTACTTAGACTGGAGCTGGGCTCAGATGGAGCCTGCTGCTTGGGATGGCTTGGGGGGACTGTGGGAATTATCTTAAATAACTAGCTCAGGAGCTGATCTTGGACAGCTAAGTACTGGGGACCCTGAAGTTTCTGGAATAGTAAGGGTTAGGTGGGGTTAAAAGCTGGCTGGAATAGGATTAGCAGCAGTCAGATGAGCCCAGTGGCTAGAGCCTTGTCCAGGACAAGAGCTCCATGTGGCTGCTGGCCTGGCAGGAAGCCTGGCCTTTGGCAAAGCTGGCAGAGCCACAGGCACTTACTGCATAGCCCATGCCAAGTTCCATTTGCAGGTAAAGTTGCCGGGTGTCTTTCTTAAAGCCACACAACCAGGAGAGGGGCTCTGGTCCTGGCTACCATAACCCTAATGTGGGCAGAGCCCGGGTCCCGCATGGGCAGTTCGGGGACTTCCCAGGTATGTCCTGCTTCAGCTATGCAGCATCTCTGCAAGTCCATGCAGTTATTCTGGCTGTTTTACAAAGAAGGAAAGTGAGGTTTGTTGAAGTCCAGCACACTGTCTATGATTTTACAGCTAGATGTACCTGACTGGCAAGCCCACAAAACAATGCTCACGCTGAACTTCTTCTTGATTTGGATGAGGAAGAGACCTGAGGTGGGAGGGAGTTGGGGTGAGGAGCAGTTGAACATCTCAGGCATGGGGACCCTGCCCCATGGATCCCCTTCTTTGGTGGAGAGGAGACCAAGTGTTTCCCAGGAACCTGCCGCGGACCGGGTTCTGTCGGGACGACGGAGGATACCTAGGGGAGGAACCTGGAATAGGATGGGGAGGTGGCAAACAGACAACTCACACACAAGAGGAGTGGATGCTGAGTGCGATTTAATGCAGAGGATAGCAAACTTTTATAACAGAAGTCTTCATGAGAAAGGGCAAAAGGTTACACAATCTTGCTGCATGGCTTCATTTTTAGGTGGTCACCAGCTGGTCGCCTGACAGGCACTTGTTTCCGGCTTATCTCTAAGGAATACAACGATTACGATGTTTGTCACCAATTAACCATTATCTATCTTTACAGAGGCCTTAACTTTCCCAAATAGATCTTTCCTGTTTCTTCTTTAATAGTAAACCTCAAGGAGATCTGGATCTAGCAATTCTCTAGGTCTAGCAATTCTCTTAGTAAATAGCAGGAAATTCTTTCTCCTAAATAATTATCTCAGCAATTGCCATACATTCTTTCTGTTCTAGCTGAGCCTACAGCTTCTTGTAAATCCCTTACAAACAATTCCTTCTGCTGAAGTGACTTTGTGAAACCCCCAATACTTTTATATTTACTTATAACTTGTCTACTAAACTCCATAAGAGGGGTTTCAGGGTAGCACTTAACTCTGGTGAGTTAGTCATATTTTTAAGACACTCATCAGATATTGGAGTCGTCAACACTCTTCAGAAAGAGCTTTGTATAAGGGAATGCTGACAATGAGCAAGTACAAAGAGCAGTAGAAGCAGTAAAAGATTAATAGGCACTCTTATGAGGGAAAGAAAGGCAGAAACACATCTTTTCCAGGGGTTTTGCCAGCCTTTTCCCAGGAGTAGGCCTCTTAGAATCCCTATTCTCCGAGGTAGACTTCGGTGAAGTCCCAAAACTTGGAGATAGGTTTCTGTAAAGCCCCATTCTCTGAGGTAGACTTCGGTGAAGTCCCAAAGCTCAGAGATAGGTCTCGAGGCCCCTATCATGGTCTGATAGATGGTTTCCCATGCTAAGCAGACTCTACTGGGGTCGGCGTGGCAGAACCTATGGCTCAGAGCAGTTGAGCTGCTCTCCCAAGGTCCTACAAGTCAGGTCAGCTGCAGAGCTATGCTGGAAGTCCTGCTGCTCAAGCCAAAGTGTCTTCTACTCAGAGCTGCTCCTGGGTTTCCCTGGATTTGGACCCTAAAGAAAAGGGGGTGTGGTTGAGGGAACAAAGCTAGAGGGGTCCACATTCAGTGTGTGAGCTGTCCCTCCTCTGCCCTAGGGTGCAGCTCCCATTGGGAGGTAGAGAACCTTGGTGACTACCCACATACTTCAAAGCAGCAAGGTGATCAGCCCAGACAGTGTGTGGGGCACAAGGAAGCCAGTGTTCATGCTTCCTGCTGCCATGCTCCGGGCCTGCAGTGCACAACGAAGAAATACAGTCCTCCAAGCCCCTTGGAGAAGGTGAAGGGTTGGGATTCTTGGAGAAGGTGAAGGGTTGGGATTATGGGAGGTAGGGTGGAGATGGCTGGGGCCTGCATCCTCTTGGGTTGGTCAGTGCCCAGGGGAAAAGGGCTTGAGCACCTGGGCTGTCATGTGCAGTGTGTGTGTGTGTGTGTGTGTGTGTGTGTGTGTGTGTGTGTGTGTGTTAGGTACTTCTACCTATTGCATGTAGTCTGGGCCCAACTGGTCAAAAAAACCTGAAAAAACAACCAATCAACAAACAAACCTGAAATTACTGAATATCTGAAATTACTAAGGCAAAACGGGCTAGATTTGTGACTCAAGTGGTAGAGTGTCTGCTTAATGCTCATGAGTTTAAATCACAGCATTGGGGGAAAAAAAGCCAGTAGCCCGTGTCTCACACATATATTTCTAGCTACTTAGGAGGCTGAGATCAGTGGGTTGAGGTTCAAAGTCATCCAGGATAGGAAAGTCTCTGAAACCTACCTCCAATTAACTGCCCAAAAAAGGAATAAGTAGAGTTGTGGCTCAGGTTTGGAGTTCAAATCCCAGGGTTGGCAGGCACACACATGCTCATGTGCATTCACACACACTCACATCAACAACTATGCACTTAACAAACCTACTGGGAGTTGTTCATGGCTGGAATACCTGAGCACCCATGGAAGGTTGGAGGAAGAAGGCAGATCTCTGAAGGGAGGGCAGGTCACACTTGGCCTCTTGGAGTCTGAGAGCTAGCCTCTAGAGGCCATGGCAGGAGGAGTTTGGGACCTGAGGCTGGCGGCTCTGGTCTGGGATGAGCTGCAACAAGGAGTGGAGGGCTGTTGCAAGGTCTTGTGGAGCTGCTGGGGGGATGGAGTTGCCATCACTGGGTGGGGAAGGCTGTGGGAGGTGTGGCCTGTGGGGAAGTTGGAAGTGGGAGGGGCTTTGGTTTGTTGAGATGTCTGTCTGGGCTGCAGTGTCCTGGTAGGCTGGGGCTGAAGCACCCTGAGGGAGTGGTGGGCAGCTTTGGACACAGCCCCTTTGGGGTGTGAGGTGTAGAAGCAAGCCAGGTGTTCACAGTTTGGTCCCCACTGAGGGTTGCTGGGAGGGACAGTGTGGCAGGTGGCTTAGAGACCTGACCATGCATGCGGGACCTGGCCTTACTTGTGCTGTCTGGACTCTGGCAGGTCACCGTGAGCTGTGATGCAGGCTGGACGCTGACCAGCTGCAGTGCCCATCCTGAGACCTCAGTCACCCTGGGAGCTTTCCCTGTGGACAACACCTGTGTGGTAAAGCACCAGGGTCCTCACAAAAGAGGATGGATGAGTAAGGAGTTTGTCATAGTCACCGCCATCTGCTGCCGGATCGAGCTCTCAGGACAGCCATAGAGCAGATGGAAAGACCTCAACCTGCTGGGTGGTGCTGACCAGGGCAGAGCTGCAGGGGTGGTGGTGGGGAATTCTGGCCCTACACTGTGTACACTGGCAGCCATATTTTATGGAAGAAATAGGGCCAGAGGGAAGAGGGCCTACTAAACACATAGCCGGGAAGTGAGGTGATATAAAGGGAGGTGGCAGGTTGGGCACTTTATTTCTGAAGGGAACAGTGTGAAGGCAGCCAGAGCCTCGCCTCTTGCTCTATGGCTGTTCCCTGGGGGCATGGGACTTCTCCTGTGGTGGTGTCACTCTTAGGGGCTGGGTGCAGGTGGCATGTGTAAGGATCGGCTGCCCACTCATGAATAAATAGCAGAATGAACGAACACTCATCTATCCTTTGGGTCTCAAGTGCCTTTGTGTGTCAGTTTGGGGGCTTGAACTCAAGACCTGAATAATGTTCCTGAGTTTTGTGCTCAAGACTAGCATTCTGCTCCTTGAGCTACAGCTCTAGTTCCAGCTATTTGAGTAGCTTACTGGAGATAAGAGTCTCTCAGACTTTCCTGCTTGGGCTGGAACTAAGCTCCTCAGATCTTAGCCTCTTGAGTAGCTAGGATTACAAACATGTGCAACCTACACCAGTTCTCTGTTGCTCTTTTAAAGCAGCAGCTTTTCTGACCTGTTTTGCTTTTGTGACTTGGTATTTATTGCAGGGTTTACCACCATTTTTATTTTTAGTTGTATTTGAGTGAGCAGGAGAGTGCTTGGCTCAGCTGGGACTGGCAGGGAGACCAGGAACTCCCTCTGGTGCTCATCTTACAGGAGCACCCTGAATATCGACATGGAGCCACCCTAAGCCCCCCACACAACTGTGGTGCCTCATCCTAGGTTCTGCTCCACCACTGAGCCCAAGTTCCCAAACCCTTTCCCATCCTACCAGTCAAGAAGACAGGGCCTAACCCAGAGAATGTTGATGGAACCGCTGTTCACAAACCTGCAGATGTTTCTAAGGAGTCAAGGTTCTTGATTTGAAACCAAGCCTGGCATGTGACTAGCTTTCCAGCTATCATGCTGCCATAGAGTTACTCTTGGTGTCACACTGCAGCACAAGTCCCCTGCTCCATGGTGAGATGGTGGCTGCCAGGTCCACAAGACCCCAGAGAAGAACAAGGACTAAGCATGATAAACCTCTTTTCCAGGATGTCTTCTATTTTAGCCTGCAGTGATCTCTTCTGGCAGTAGGTGGAACTTTCATTCAGGTTTTCCCACCAGATCTATAGCCATATGAATTAGGAACTTTCCAGGTAGGGGAAAGGAAAGTTTCTGGCTTTAGGGAGACTCCAGATGACAAGAGTTTGGGGGAGGCTGGGAAAATACAGTCCCTCAAATTATCTATTGTTCTGTAATGTGTGCCTAGTAAAACTCATTCTACTCATTTCAGCTGGATTTGAGTCATTATGTGGGCAGTGAGTGCCATCCAGCTTGAAGGAACACTGTTCTGCCAGGCTTCCCTATAGAATTCATGAAGCACATGGTGTCTCTATCCATTTTACAAAATATAGTCATCCCATTAAGTGTGGGAACTCCTGGCCCAAGATGATGTTGGCATGTGTCACTGTTTTTAGGCAAAAGCTACCTCCATTCAGCCATTGTAAAAATTATGGGGTTTCAACAGAGGCAAAACTCCTCCCACCCTATCTTCAGACTGTGTGTCCTGGAGAACAAACAGCATTGAGTAAATTGTGAAATTCATTCTTGATTTGAAGACTTTGTGAAAGATTATAAAAATATCATCAATGAAAAATTATCAATGAAAGTGAAAGTTCTTCCAAGGCAAGCCTGTCACAATTGTTACTTTGTAGTACAATGTTAAAAACAGTCCACATCAGGTTTGTTGTCTACAGCTAAGGATAATAGGTGGTTGCTAGCAAAGCAGACACAATGCTTATTGCAGCAACAACATAACAATGAATCAAACTGTAGAGTGAACAGGGATGCTGCTGTAGCTTCCCAAGTGGAGAGACGGCAGGTACAGAGGTGGAGGGCATCATCGTTTCCATGGGAAATAAGAGACTAGAAGTGGCCATTTCACTCCTGAATTTAAGCTCCTGAGTGCAGTTGCTGGCAACTATATCTCAACACATATCACCGCCAGCATTTCAATGCATGGTCTCACGCAATCTTTCAGCAAAAATGGGTGTGCAGAGAAGTGAGGGGCTATAGCAGAGAGCATGGAGCATCTTTCAGCAAAAATGGGTGTGCAGAGAAGTGAGGGGCTATAGCAGAGAGCATGGAGCAATCAGGTATTTAAAATCAACTTTAGAACCTCACAATCAAAAGTATAAGAACATTGGAACCATATCAAACTTCCATTCATCTGTGTGCTTTGGAGACACAGTTCTCTTCAATGCTGGCCTTCCATGTTGTGGGTGTGGAGCTTACACAATTAAACTAGAGTCCATGGACCACAAGGGACTTTTGCTAGGGGCAGTGGAAGAAAGGGCTATTCTAAGTGCACAGCAGGGAAGTTGTCACCTCTGTTATGTGACCCCACAGATGTAAAACAACCAGAAAGGCACTTTGGGACTGGTTGGGCCCCTTTGCCTTGGCAACTCTGGCTGACAGTGGTAATCTGGCACTTCCCAAGGCTCCCAAGCTCTGCACACAGCGAGTGGGAAATATGGCAGAGCATGTATCTAAAGCTGAACGAGGGCTGAAACTGAGCCATTCAACACACAAAAGGTACACAACACAGGAAAGGTCTGTTTCCACTCCTTCCCCACTGCCCTGGGCTTCTGAACCTGATGAGCTACACTGGAAAGTACAACTAAACTTAAGGTGGTTCAGTCACTCCTAGAGATTTCTGAGGGTGTCACTCTTACAGCTTTCCTCCTTTTAGTTTAGTCATTGAGGAGAAATAAAATTTCAAAGTGATTCTCAGTTTTAAACTTAAAAAGAAACTCAAAACAATGTCTCCAGATCCAGATACCTAACCTTTGTATACAATCAATACTAAGGAACAGAGCAGTTCTGATCAGGTAAAGCAAATGATTTCAGGTCCCATGGTTTGAGACTACAGTTTATTCAATATATCTCCAAGCACTAAAAAAATAAAATTTAAGAAGCCAAACTGGATAAAAATTATATCTGAGAATGCTTTTAATTTCACTTAAAATTTGTGTTTTGGGCTGGGCACTGGTGGCTAATGCCTGTAATCCTAGATTACTATTGAGGCTGAGTTCTGAGGATAGCAGTTCAAAACCAGCCCAGGCAGGAAATTCTGTGAGACTTTTATCTCCAATTAACAACTCCAAAACCAGAAGTGAAACTCTGCCTCAAAGTGATAGAGCAGTAACCATGAGCAAAAAGAGCTCAAGTACAGTGTTTAGGCCCTGAATGCAAACCTCATTACAAACCAAAAAAAAATGTGTTTTGTGAGCAATCCATAACTTCTTTAGGTTTGATGGCCAAGGGTGCAGCCTGTGCTTCTGCAGAACATGTTTTTATTACTCTGAAAAGAGCAATAATTGCATCCCAAAGTACCTTCAAGAGCTTAGTGAATGTTCCAGTTTTGATCCTGAAAGCTTTTCTTCAAGGTCCAAGCCTAAGCCTAGATCTCAACCAGACCCATGGGCAATGCTATATGGAGAGGAAGACATATTAAACACAAAGGTCCTTGTAAACGTGATTCATCAGCCACTGCTTTATAGTGAAAAGGAGTTTTACCACACACACCAAAAGGCAGCTCGCCTTTCTCCCATAAAATATAAAAACAAAGGAGTTTCTCTTGTGGCAATGAAGACAAAGCCACCGCTTACCCCTCTCTTGTGTGCTCATGGGACACGGGCTTGGCAGCAGCTCTGTTTCCTTGGTCTCCACACAAGTGTCAATCCACATGCGGGACATGGGTCCACTTGCTGGAATTTGTCTGCTAACATCTCCCAACCCTCTAGGGGCCAAAGAAAGCTTTCCTTCAGAGCACATGGCCCTCCAGAGTCACACTTTCCCAGCTCTCCAGGTTCCTCTAAGGGCTTTAAGGATGAGATTCTGGTTTCCCAGTGTTGTCAGGAGCTAGGCACAGTTTTCTAAGGGTCAACATCATCAAGGTCACTTCTTAACTTGCCATTCAAGGGAGATTCTGATCCCTGAGGCAAAGAAGAGGAAATTAAGGTTCTTATAGTAAAACTGAAGGGCATGTTTTCTACACAAAGTTCCTTATGTATGTTCTCTAGGTCCCCATTTACCCCATTAAATCTATGTCTACTAAAAGGTAATAAAACACAATCCTTGTACTCTATTGATTATGTTAAACCTTTCACATGTACAGTCACATTTAGTCACAACAGCCATAAATATGCTCCAATTAGAACTGCAGTGAGCAAAAGAACCAAGCAGAGAGGTACTACCACTGCACTGCACCTGCTACAGAGTCTCTGGCTCAAGTAGTAGAGCAGCAGCCTTGAGTGAATAAAGCCAAGGGGCAGTGCACAGGCCCTGAGTTCAAACCCCAGTAGTGGTACAAAAAAGTATATACCAATAAGAAATTGAGAGATGGTGTTTTAAACCATGGTGACACATGAGGTAAGTGTAAGGTCGGCTCCTGGATGGCTAGCAGACTCCACCCTCCTCACAGCAAAGTCTCCACCCAGTACTTGTGTTACCTAGGCAACTGCGACACCTGGAAGAGGTCACATCTGCATCCACTGAGGTCACATCTGAATTTGATGTGGCCACACCTTTCTCCACCCATACCCTAGATAAGGCCTAGCGCAGGCCCAGACTCCCTTTCTCTGCTCTCTCTCTCTCTCTGCTCTCTCTGCTCTCTTCTAGCTCTTTCCTCTCTCTTTCCTCTCTTTCCCAGCTCTCTCTCATTCCCAGGTCTTTCCCAGCCACGTGCAGTGCCAACCTTGCCTGGTCCCAGCAGGTCTACTGAATAAACCTACCCTTTACCTGAATACCACGTGTGTACTGCTGTTCTTACTGGGCTACCTCTTTTTAAAAACCTAACAGTAAGG